GCTCAAACTCTCACTGAATTAGTGCAGAGAGATTTATTTCCTCCAAATTTTGAACGGCTTAAGAGAGATTGGGGTGGAGGGGGCGGTTGGAAGGGAGGCGACATGGGGGGAGATGAGTGAAGAAGGGGCCTGGGAGGGAGAAGGTGAGCTCTTATGGAGGTCACATATCCTCAGCTCGTTGGATATAAATTCTAATGACCATTCCTCACATCCTGCTCATCATCTTCTGGGCATTGGAGACCAAGTGTCCACATCTCTGCTCCTAGCCCATGGAGAATATGAATCCACAGCAGAAGAGATCTGGACAGCGGGAAGAAGCACTCCTGAAAAAACATTTGTAGTGGGACAAACTGAGGCTCAGGGAAGGCCAAGGTCTCTCCTCTGACTAGGAATCCTTCTCCCCACCCATCCCTGGCTCACACAGGGCCGTTTGTATCCCAGGTGGCTTTGGTGGCAGTTCTCATGGCCCCTGCCCTCAGGGTGAACTCCCAAATCTTCAGCTGAGACTTCTGGGAAGAACTTTTCCAGGGTGGCTGCCAGCTTCCTTTCATGCTTTAGGGGGTGATGTTGGAGGGTAGTTTAGAAAATATAGGTCAGTCCTTAGCCAGGTACGGGCTGGGCAGTTGGGGAAGGGCAGATGACTCTCCCATAACTGCGCCAGGAATAGCCTGAGAGAAGCCGAGAACCATGCTGCAGCCATAGAACCCATGGAGTTGCTGGGAAACTGAGCCTGTCTCTCAGGGGGCAGTGCAGTGTCTCAGGGATCCCCACACATAAGGTAGAAGGCAGTGTCTGGGTTTACAAGTAAGCCAGGTGGGTGGAGAAAGGGAGCCATAGGCGCCCCACTGACCATTGCTGTGGATCACAGGAAAAGTTGTGGGTGGTCTCAGATGCTGTCTGAGCTCTGAGAGACCAACAGTGCTCTGAGATGGGGTGGGATGAAGGAACCAGACACTGGAGCCTGGGGAGGCTGAGGTAGGAGAGAGAGTATCTGGGGTCTGACAGTGCTGATCTCTGCCCTCCAACTCTTACTGCTCAGTCCTCTGGTTGCAGAGCAGCTGGAGAGAGGGTGCCAGGAGAGCACCTGCGTAGTTAAGTTAACTCTTAGTTAACTTGGAGGGAAGGATGGGCAGCATGTTCCCTTCTTCTGAGACAGCAGAAGCCATGGAAGACACCCCCAAATATGACCCCATGTACAGAACCATTCTGGGAAGATCTGACACCTGGAAGTGAAGGAGGTTTGTAAGACAGACCCTGTCTGTGGTTCTGTGGAGGAGGTGCCTGTTCCCTACCGTCTTTCTGGTAGATCTTTCTCAATGGATCTTCTGGCAATTTGGGGCAGCAAACAGGCCACCCTTAAATATTGCCCCTTTCTTCTGCAGACTGCACACCCTGGTGTATGTGACAGTGCCTCCCACCCCATCCCTGCAAGTCCAGCTCTGTCATGAGGCACCTCGTGATCTGACTGCTGCTGCCTTTTCAACCTCATTTCCCTCCAGCCCTCCTCACCTGCCTACCTGGCTCCAGCCACACTCGGTTAGATTTTGTTCCAGAAACATGCAAGCTCATTCCTATCGCAAATGCTTTGCTTTTTCTCCTGCTGGAACGCCAATCCCGTAGCTCTTTACATCACTACGTCTCATCATTTGAAGCTTAACTTAAATGTCACCTCCTCAGGGAAGCCCTCCCTGACCACTCTAAGAAAAGCTGCTCCTCCCTGAAGAATCAAGGAGGGAAGCAGAGGAGATCCCCTTCTCTCCCTACCCAAAGCCTAGTGCTAGTAGCTGGGGGGACACAGTCATGGCAGATCTCTCTTTGATACCCCACTTGCCACTCACACTCTGTATATAGCACACACCATCCTTGTACACTTACACACATATTGCATACAAATAGCACAGAGAACCTGCATGCTGTGTTCACAGCACACAAAATCAGCACCCCAGATACACACACACAACCCATCTGTGCATATATACAGCATTAGCACAACACTGTGTGCACACAATGAAAGCACACAGGACCCCACACAACACTTGCTCTCATTGACAGCCTGCATGCAGAGTTGGTGCACACAAACACATATGCAATTGCACATACATATGAACACATGCACACACACTTTGTCCCTTCCCTCCAACTAACCAGTGAGAAAGGAATATGCGGTGACCGCAGCTGATGCGGGGTTGGGGCGGGGGCTGCACCCCCTCCACCTGGCACGATGCTGCGGATTATTAGTTCCTGGTAATTTAGTGCCCTTGTACAGAGTCGATTTGTGCCTTTCATTCCTAATTGATCTAGTGGCTGTTTAAATGGCAGCAGGCATCTGTTGAGAGTAGGGAGGTTCATAAGGCGCAATAATTCATAACACCGTCTGGAATTTGCCTTTCATGTCCCTCAGCTAAACCACTGCAGGGCTCTGCTTAAATTACAGCCACTGAGGCTTTCTTTGGTATTCCACTCAGGGCCAGGAGAATCTTGCATTAAACTGGGATCAGGTTAGATTAGACTATAATATGCTGCAGTATTAGTGGCTGCAAATGAAGACTTATACTGGAGTTTAACCCCTTCACCTGGTTTTCTCTTTGTCTTCAGCCGAATGGCTAAGCTAACCCATTGTTTTCCCTACCAGCTTTATGGTAGATCTTTCTCAATGGATCTTCTGGTAATTTGGGGCAGCAAATAGGCCACCCTTAAATGCTAACCCTTTCTTCTACAGACTGCACACCCAGCCTGCAGCCCTGGGGACCAGCAGTTTAGGCATCAGCTTCCAAAACCAGGGTCGGGGAGAGAGTGTGCAGGGACAGGCTCTCCCATGCCCAGCAGCTCCTCTGGAGCAGGAATTTCTCTCTTTTCCTCCCCCGGAACCCCTGAGTATGAGTAGAAAGACCCATAAAATGCGAAAGTGAGTGTGGATGGGGTAAGCCCTTTCTGTCTTTTTGTCCAAAATTGTTAGAATTCCAGGATGGACAGGCTCCTAGGGGCTCCCCCACCCACTTACAAATATCGTATAGGCTAGATATTCAGTCCTTCTCTGTGTGCTCAGTCATGCTGTGCTGGAGGGGAGACCCTGGTCTGTCTTCCTTACCTATTGTGTTCTTGGTAGGGCACGGTGGCTCACACCTGTAATCCCAGCATTTTGGGAGGCTGAGGCAGGCAAACTCCTCACTTGAGGTCAGAAGTTTGAGAGCAGCCTGGCCGATGTGGTGAAATCCCCTCTTGGCTAAAAAAGTACAAAAACTAGCCAGGCATGATGGCGGGCACCTGTAATCCCAGCTATTCGGGAGGCTGAGGCACAAGGATCATTTGAACCCTGGAGGCAGAGGTTGCACTGAGCCAAGATTGTGCCACTGCACTCCACCCTGGAGGACAGAGTAAGACACTGTCAAAAAAAAAAAAAAAAAAAAAAGACTTACTGTTTCAGTATGGTAGCCACCAGCCACATGTAAACTCTTAAATTTAAAGTAACTAAAATTAAATGAAATTGAAAGTTCAGTGTCCTAGTTACAGTAGCCATATTTTAAGTGTCCATTGGCTTCATGGGGTTAGTGGCTGCCATACTGGCAGTGGAGATTGCAGAACATTCCCACCATGCAGAAAGTTCTGCTGCACAGCGCTGTCTAGACTCTCCTTCTCTTGGGCAGAAACATGGAGGCCAGGTCCAGGTCCAACACGCATTCCTCCTCCTTGTCCAGCAAATGGGACTATCTCAAAAAAAAAAAAAAAAGGCCAATATTGCATAGTCCCAGGAGTCTGGGGAGACAGAGCTGAGAGGGATGTGCAGAGGCGTTTTTGGAACAGCAGTGGAAGGGAATGGGACTCTCTGAAGTCCAGTATCAACAACTCATGCACTCGCATACACACATGCTGCAGAAATAAAGGTGCTGTGCACTTATACATGCAGATACCCATACATACATATATCATATATATTTCCCAAATACTTTTTGAGATCCACATACATCTGACTAGACTTCAGACATACGGTGATAAATAAGGTGAGCTAGATTCCTGCCCTCGTGTAGCTCACAGTCTAGTGAGGAAGGCATATGATAAAAAAAAAAAAACTCAGGGACTATCACTGAGTTTGGCGGTGGGGGAATGGGGGTCGGGAGTCAGCAAAGCTTTCAAGAGTTTCTGATCTCCAAGCTAAGATTCACAGAGCCATTTAGGAAACACTTTGGCTCACACAGAGATGTCATAGGACTCTCTACCCCAACCACCACATATACCCTCTTCACTCATTGATTCCTTCAATCACTAAACATTTATTAAGTGCCTGCTATGAGCATGCATGCCAAGGTCTTAGGGATATCAGGATCACTAAGTCAGGTAGAGTCTTGGAGGAAAACAGTGAACAAATGATTTGCATCACATAGTGATGCAAATAATCACTGCATCATTGTGTGATGACCTAACACTGGGGTATCTGACCTAAACTGAGTCTACCAAGACTCAGAACAGGTGGAGACATCTGCCCACCATGTGTGGATGAGTCTTCAGGCTCACGTGTGTCTCCTGCATGCACGTGCACACACAAAAGTGTACACATCTGCCATCCTTAGCTGGCTCCAGAAAGCCAGGAATGGATCTATGACCTACCACTGATGTTCATGTCTAGGACTTCTCTAGACACCCCTCACAATTCCTTCCTGGGTTGACTCAGCCAGAAATGGACACCTACTTCTTGGAAGGGTTATAACCAACCCATCATCCCTCCGCAAATATCCATGTAGTTTGTCTGAGCAAAGAGAAAAGGTAGGTGCCCAGTGGGTAGGGACAGGAGCCTCTTGAGCCCAGAAACTGGAAGAGCAGACCCTCCTTGCCAAGGCACGAAGTGCTGCCATCCAGACTGACCATGGGGACTGTGGATGTTATCAAGGAGTGGGATCTTGGGAGAAGTGAAGGGAACGTGGGCAGGGGAGCCTGGTGGCTTCTGAGCACAGGTAGCAGCACGGTCTCTGTGTTTGCGCATGTGTGAGCTCTTGATGTCCCCGCAGGCACCCTCTTTTCCCGCTCCTGACGCTGCTGTTTGAGAAATGTGAACAGGCCACCCAGGGCTCTGAGTGCATCACCTCCGCCAGCTTTGATGTGGACATCGAGAACTTTGTCCACCAGCAGGAACAGGAGCACAAACCCTTCTTCAGCGATGACCCAGAACTGGACAATCTGGTAAAGAACCTCCACCCTCTACTCTGGCTAGAGTCTTCATACCCTCTGATCCTTTTCAAAATGCCCTAGAAATGATCTTTTCACCAACAAAAGGTTTTGGATACCCACTAGATGCACCATTCTTGCAGCCAAGAACCATTTTTAAGTGCCTGAAACTGAGGATTCCATGCACAGGTTTTGCAACCAAAGTTCTGCCCATCTACGCCCAGGTGGCACTAGCATCTTAGCACCCACCCTTCTGCAGTGCAGACAGGAGGAAAGGAGGGTCATAGTAGCCAGAATATCTGGGGTAGCTGTTCTGAGTCCCAGAGTCCTGGCATATTAGCAAATCTGTCTTGGGCTGTCCAGAGAGGAGCTAATAGTTGACATGCTACTGTATGGAGGACGTAGGTAACTGATGTTGAAGCACATTAATCAAGAGAAAGTCCTGACATCGATGTGCTGAGGAGACCAGTGGAGGACCAGTTCATTCTGGGGACAGGGTAGATCAGGCTCCCAAACCTAATTTGTCAGCTAGATCTTGACTACAGTTTTATAAAAATACATATCCCTAGGCCACACCACCTGGAAACCGTGATTCAGTGAGTTTTGCGAGAGCCGTCGAATCTACATTTTAAAACGTTTCCAAAACGTTGCAATCATCATTAGGTTTGGTAACCAATGGGTCGGATGACTTCTGAATTCTCATCCAGTCCTGAGAATTCTGCGGAAAGAGCAGTAGAGAGGTTTCTCTGGGTTTGTCCACTACTCTAACTAGTCATCTTGGAATTGTTAACCACAATTCTTTATTTTTTGTGGGTGGATTACCCAGATTATGCACAGTGAATTTGGAAACTGTGGAAAACTCTCCCCCACAGATTGATTAATGATAGTGCTGACCTCTTGCACCCAGTGTTTAAACCACTCCCAAAAGGGAAACAGAATTAGAAAAGCAAGGCAAATGTGATTCCAAAAAGGAAGAAAAAGAACACAGACAGACACAGACACAGACACACACAGACACACAGACAGACACAGACACAGACACACACAGACACAGACACAGACACACAGACACAGACACACACAGACACACAGACACAGACATACGTATATACACACACACACACACACACACACACACACACACACACACTGCATCTGCAGAACAGATGTAACTGGCTTTGATATTCTGTGCTGTGAATTATCCACACCACTGCTTCTCTCAAGAGCTGAATATGTGACTGTATGGAGTCCAGAAAAGCTGCCAGGAGAGCCCACGCTGGCCTGAAGCTTTGTGAAGTGTCGTGATAGGCGGAGTGTTTGAAGAGCAGAGGAGGCCCTGCCAGAGGATAAGCACTCACTCGCTGTCGGGAGGGTCAGTGAAGGCCTCTGAGAGCCCCAAAGCCACTTTTCTCATCCCTTTCTTTGGCTAGGATTGGAAGCCCCCTTCCCAGGAGGCAGGCCACTGTCTCTCGGGTCCCCTGGGAAAGCTGCCCCATGCAGGTGCCCCAGTTGCAGGCTGGTTTTACCCTGCCCTGTGCTCTGGCTGGTTAGAACCACAGACTGAAGTTGGGGAGCAGATCCTCACAATCTAGACCCATGGAAACCAGGGGACCAGGAGATGCCACAGCCATTTCTGTAGGAGCTGGGATGGACCTGGGGCGGCAAGGCCCACTCCCCTCATTTGGCACAAAAAGAAACCAAGGCCTAAATTGTTAAGGAAATATCTAAAAGTAGACTGGGTAGCTAACATAAATAAGTTAAACCTTCTTAAGAGGGAGGAATCCTGGGGAAACAAATTTCCCATGCCCTGCCCACCACCAGCCAGATGAGCTCTGGAAGACCCACCAAGGGCAGCCTCCCATCCTAGCACAGCCTGGAAACCGCCCAAGTGGTCACCTCCGTGCTCTCTCCTATCATGTAGGCTCCCCAGGCAGGGCTCTGCTCACTCAAAGAATCATGTTTAGAATTAATCCAACAGAACTTGGTTGAGTATCTGCCATGACCCAGGGACGTGGATGTTGTGGAAGCTGTCCTGGTGGCCCCATACTACTGGTGTTCCCCAGTCTTCCATCTCAGACACTGGGCTGGGAGTGTCCAGCCAGTGGAGCAATCCTTGGACATTCCATCTATTTGGGAGCACCTGATTTACCTAGTTGAGATAGACATGGTCAATGACTGGTTGATTGACTGATTATGTAAATGGGGAGATTTGAAAGAATGTGTACAGATAAGAGCCCTATTTAAACCTCTGCTATCTGTGTGATTTGGATGACTTAACTCCTTTGAGTTTCCTCATCTGTAGATTTAACACACCTATCTCGTGTGATGGTAATACGAAATTAATGAGATGGCTCCTGGAAATGGCCTTTAAAAATGCCTGGCATCTGGAAGGTTAATATTGAATGGAGGGCCCCTCCGAGAAGGTGCTCTAGTTCCTCAACCTCATATCCTGGCCACCAAAGAGAACATGCAGCCGGGACCCTGAAACTTTATGTGGGGAGTCAAGCAGTGGCTCTTGCCACCCCCACCCCTGGTCCTGTGTCAGGAAGGTGGAGATAAAGAGGCCAACCGCAGGAGCCATCATTAGAACAAGAATCATGTAGCCAGTACAGCCGAGATGCACATAATTAGAAATTAGAAAAAGGTCAGATCGCGTCATTATCAGCTCGATCAGCTGCCGAGTGCCACAGCCAGTTAATTTGGCATCTGTATTTTTTACAACCCCGCACACGTAGCCCAACGGACTGTAACTCTTTATCCGGACAGATATACTGCGCAGCCGAGCAGGGACATAAAATGAGAGACCCCAAGCAAATGAGCTGAGATAATTGAGAGATTTATTTTTTATATATATGTGTGTCAGTGCAGCTTTCCTTTGCCCTTGAATATTGACTTTCATAGGGATTGTTAGGAGGGCACTTGGGTCCCCAAAACCTTTGCCCCTTGGAAGTTCCTCTCTCCCCCAGGGCCCTCAAGCCCCATTCGGGCCCTGATTTCTCCCAGGCCATGAAGCCTGTGGTCTCCAGCTCCACCAAGCCCCACATTTATACTCAGAGCCCATCTCCAGCTGGCCACCCCTCTATACCCCAAGCAAGTTGCCCTGTACCACCCTCTCATGTGCCCCACAGTCACCCAGAGCTGCCCCAAAGATCAGAGCGGTTCCCAGATTGTAGATTTCAGCAGGAGCCTCCCTCCCTTCATTAGCCACCTGCTCCCACAGCACCCCTACCAGAGAAGAAACAGAATCATGAATCATTAGAGGGAAAAACCCTAGGGAGGGCCAAGCACAGTGGCTCATGCCTATAATCCCAACATTTTGGGAGGCTGAGGAGGGCAGATCACATGAGCCTAGGAGTTTGAGACCAGCCTGGCCAATATGACGAAACCTTGTCTCTACTAAAGACACAAAAATTAGCCAGGCATGGTCCCAGCTACTCGGGAGGCTGAGGCAGAAGAATCACTTAAGCCCAGGAGGCAGAGGTTACAGTGAGCCAAGATCATGCCACTTCACTCCATCCTGTGCAAAAAAGTGAGACACCATCTCAAGGAAAAAAAAAAAAAAAAAAAAACCCTAGGGAGAAGTTCATCCTACCTCCACCCCCTCTTTTATAGCCTGGGATATAAGTTCACAGAAGGAAGTGACTTGCCAGTACCAGAACCCAGGTCAGCTGACTCCTCATCTTCCGGTCTGCCCACAATATCACAACACCACTCCTCCTTCATTTACAAATAAAAAGTCCCCCCCATATCTATTTCCCTGCACCCACACTGTACCTCCCCATTTCCAGGGGACAAGTGGGCTTTCCACCCTCATGGTGTCCAAGCTGCAATGCCCTGGCTGGCTCCCCTGGGAAAGGCCCGCTCCATCCGTCACTCCCTCCACTCCAATTCCCACAACCACAGGGGCACACCAGGCCGATTCCTTAGCTGGGCTCACAAATCCCTTCCATGGGCCCAGCAGCCTCTGACTGGCAGTTGGTAAAGTTTGTAAAATTTGCAAGTTCCCCAAAACCCTTTGAAAGGTAAAAGCTTTTTGTTTTATAAAATCTGATTTACGGGCCCCCAGTGCAGAGCCAAGGTTTTATATATTATGCAAGATTTCAAACCGTGGCTGTAAAATGTACGGTTTCAGTTTCATGCATGGAATTTTTTTATGTGTAAATTTTTTAACATTTATGGGGCACGTTTTAATGAGACTCTGGTGTGGCTCGAGGGACAGATTACTGCTGCCTGACCACAAAGCCAGCTCTAAAATGGGGCCCCCCAGGCCCCAGGGCCAACTCTAAAGAGGCAGGGCCAGAGGCCAGAGGCTGTGAATAAGGAGGCATGTGAAGGAATCAGGCCAGAGCTCTGGGCCCAGAGGCCTCAGGCCAGTGGCATTCAGAGACTTAGCCACTTTGGCCTTCAGTCCAGGCTTTCTCTGCCTAGACAGGAGCAGAAAATCCCACAGACACCAAGAAAGGGAAAGGAAATAGGAATCATCAATGATGGTAATAATGAACATTTATAGAGCACTTATCAGATACCGTTCCAACTATTTTACGTATATTATCTTATTTAATCCTCTTTCTGGACCCACAAGGTACATGTTACTATTATCCCCATTTTAAGAGGAGGCAATTGAGACAAGAGATGCAGTCACCATCACACAGCTGGTCCATGACCCAGGCAGGAATCAAATACATTGCAGGACTCGTGCTCCAGTGGCCACACCCAAAACAGCTCTGTAGCTGATCTCTTCTTCCATCTTTCTCTGAGCCAGGTCTTGTTTTTCATTCTCTTCTAGCCACATCTCATTTAAGCACAGTGCAACTCTGAGGAGTCACTGTCATTATCTTGTTTTACAGGTGAGGAAATTAAAGTTTAGGAGAAACTAAAGTTTACCTAAATTGTTCAAGGTCTTACCATAGATGGAAGACCCAAGACCTAAAGCCTTGAGCATCTTCTTTGCTGCTTATTTCTCACAAGAGCCCTGTGAAGTAGTTGTTATTATCCCCATTTGACAGAGGAAGTAA